TAAGCAAACAAAAAAAAAATTAACAACAACAAAAAATACAAGAAATTAAAATTTCACAGTAACCTCTAAGAGCTTTTGCGTATGAGAGACTATGAGTAGTTCTTCAGAGAATCTCTCTCTTGGCGATGTATCCATACTGAGATCGTCCAATGTTATCCGACGATCATTCCAAGTACGATCTCTGCCTTCTTTGTCGGGCTCATTCCTGTAGAGGAGTTCTTAAATCCGTCTCAGTCCGAGATTGATGTGGTAGACGTCACTAGAGAAGGAACTGAAGGCGTGTCATTGGCTGACGGAGATTGAGAAGAAGATGGATGCAGTGGTGCTGGAAGTGAAGAAGGATGTGGCGCGTTAACTGGAGCTTCCAATGGAGATGGAGGAAGGGAAATCGGTGATGGAGTTTTGGGTGAAGGTGAAATGGTGGCGAGTTGGGGCAATGGAGTCGGCGAGGTCTGTGGTGGAGACAACAAAGATACAATGAAGAATTGGACTAGGAGAAAATCCAGAAGCAGAGCTCGATGAACCTCGCAATTGTTGAAGAAGAAGAAGAAAGTTCGAGATGATAATTGATGAAGATTTAGTTAATTAATAGACAAAGCAAAACGGCAAAACAATAATCAAACATAGTTGTTGAATTTAAGAAATCAACAGCTGTCAATTTTTGGGTTTATTTTGGGTGTGTTTATATACATTGAATGGTATATGTTTTCTTTATAAAAATATGTCTATGAATAGATATTTAACTAATTGTCTTTATACAAGTTTAGTTATATACCCAAACTTAGACATAGTCTTATAAAAAAACCCTATACCATTTAAAAACTATAAATACACCAACAACAACAAAATCCAAAAATCAACAGCAGTTGATTTTTTCAATTTAATAGCTATTTTTTAGTTTATTTGAGTATGTAAAATACCTATATTGCCCTTGTATTATGGATTTGAGAGAAAAAAAAATCAGATCTACCAAAAAACCAAATCAAATTCATTTTCTCCTGTCTTGCTGGTGCTTTCTCGATGTTGGAGCAAGAGGAGCTTCCATTGCTTAGTCTCAGTGTTAATCGCCAATTCAATATTTCACCCTCGATTTCTTGTTCTAAAATCGTGCTTCTATTCATTTTTTTTTTCCGGATTGTTCGAAACCTCGAACAACCTCAATCAGATGCTCCTAGCTCTACTCCTCATCCTCGAGCTCTACTCCTTTTTCGCCACGCCGTCATCGTCGTTGTCATCATCATCGTCATCACCGTCGTCATCGTCATCATTGTCGTCGTCGTTGTTGTTGTTTGGTTTGGACTTGAGATTTTTTATCTTTTGCTTCAATTATGTGTTCCTCTTCGAATTTTAGTTGATTTTTGGAATGTATTTTAAGCTTTGATGACCTATTTATCTTTTGTTACTATTTTAGTTATGGATCTCATTTTTCTTTAACAATGTACTTATGTGACATAGTATTAGTAATATACTTATATGACAGAGTATTAACAATGTACTTCTACGACAAAGTATTAACAATGTACCTCTATGACATAGTAGTATTAACAATCTGGGTTCAGCTAGTTTTTAATACTCCGCAACTTTTTTTATAATAAATTGTTTGGGTTTTTAAAAAAAATCTAGGCTCAGATTGTTTTGAGTTGGTCTGGTTTGTTCTTTCTTCATCCTTTCTTTAGTAGACATGTATTAGAAATAGCAAGATGACATTAATCAACATAACAATAAACTAGCAGTGTTATTACCCTAAATTGGAACATTATAGGGGTAGACATGTATTAGAAATAGGATGTCATAGGAAACTAGCAGTGTTATTACCCTAGACTGGAACACTACTGGGGTAGACATGCATTAGAAATATGATGCCATAGGAAACTAGCAGTGTTATTACCCTAGACTGGAACACTACTATGGTAGACATGCATTATAAATAAGATGTCATATAGGAAACTAGCAGTGTTCCTTCAACTTTTCGTTAGGGCAAATGATCCTGCTGTCAATTTTGTTATCTTTTTCGTTAAATGCAAGGGAAAATTATCTTTTTATATTATTTTTAATTTCCACCATTCGAATATTTCTTTCACCCACAAACTAAAAAACCTTCTTCCAATCCTCGTCATAGTATCCACAACCTCTCCAACTCAACCTCATCGAAATTTGCCCATGTACCCCAAGAGTGAAGAAATTTCCAATTTTGACCCTCAACAATACATCATGTGCCATGCACATGCTCAAATTTGACAACAGAACCATTTGTCCTAATAAAACTAAAGTTGAAGGACCACGAGAGAATCAGGTCAAAGTTTAGGGACCATTGAATCTAAAAATCCTTTATTTTTTGGGTAAACTGCGGAATACCCTTATGAACTATTTCGACTATCGAAAATACCACCCTAAATTAATTTTTCAGCCAATTTAGCCATCGTATTAAATTTATTCTCTAATTTCGACCCTGCCGTAAGCTTTTTCACAATTCCATATAAATGCCCGTTAAATATAAGGCTAAATTTGATATTTTACAAGGTATAGTATTAATAAGAATAAGGAAAATGTAAAAAATGAAATAGAGAAAAAGAAAACTCGGCACCAAATTTCTTCTCCCCAATTCCCACCAACCAGCAACTCCTCCACCCCACAAAACCCAAAATCAGCGGCCCCTCCTCTGATTTCTTCTCCCTCATTCCCCCATAATCTCGTAGAACCAACACCCCCCCCACCCTAGATTTCTTCTCCCTCCATTTCCCAACCTCTAACCACCACCCACAGCCCATCCCCCTTACCCCCCACCTGCAGAAACCAGAATCGCTTTCCTCCATCCCTTCCTATTTGTTTCTCTCATTCCCTCAAAGACCCCTCCCTTTTTATCCAATCCCCCCAACCTTGCAGAACCCAGAACCAGCGCCCCTCACCCCTACTGATTTCTTCTTCCCCCATTTTCCAACCACCACTCACAGACCCCTCACCCCTCCTTCCACCCCCACCTGCAGAAAGCAGAATCCCCTTTCCTCTCCTCCCCCTGATTTATTTCTCTCCCGTTCGAGCTCTTTGAAGAACCAGAGAAAAAAAAATCAATTTTTAATTCAACAGCGAAACATATGCCTAATATGGTACTTTTTTAACAGAGATTTAGATGGAAATTGCCAAAAACTAACGGTGGGGGGTAAATTGGCAATAAAATTTAATGAGGGCTAAATTGGAAGGAAAAAAAGTTCAGGGTGGAGATTTCAACAAGCGTGATAGTTCATGGGGGTATTCGGCAATTTACCCTTATTTTTTATAACATAAAGTAGGAACTAATAATTCTTCTATGTCAATATCTTCTCCCTTGTGATGGGCTTCTTTAATGTTCTTTTTCTTTCGCATTTTTATGTTTAATGCTCTGATATACCACATTCCAATCAAGAAGAGTAGAAAGAAAAGAAGGGATGGAGTCAATTAAATTGTCAAATACAATTCTTATTGACAAAACTACAACCAAGCACATCAAAATTTCATAGATCTATAACTTCTACATAGTTTTGTGCAATAAATAGTATTTTAATATTGCAATTCACGTTCTCATGGCATTGTACAATTCAAGATTAATCTATTTGTACTCCTCGTAATATAAATCTTTCATATCAAACCAAGTTGTCATGGACCCTTCTTCTTAAATGGAAGGGTGATGCATATAGGGCATATAATAATAGGCACTTAAGGCCCATAAGTTGAGCATGATGAATGGCAAACCCAGGGAAGTTGAGCATGAAATGCAACACAGGGAGGTTAGGTATGCAATGCAAACATATATAGAAAAGAGTCCATCATGAGGAAGATGATATTGGTTTAGGAAATAACTCATTAAAGAGTTAGTAGTTTTTGTTATTAGATGATATCTAAATGAGGTGGTATGTAAAGAAGAAAAATTAAAGAGTTCGAGCAAATAATATCCAAGCAGAGAATCCACATACTAGGTGCGCGACATAATCATGCTTAATTGTCAATCCCAAAAGATGAAGACACCACAGAATGTCCTTCAACAAAACCTCTTTAATTTCATGTTCCTTTGTTGAGTGACCAGTCATGAGACAACCTTGTGGCTATGACAGGACCTGACCCGAATTCTCCCTTGAAACTCGTGTCAAACCCTGCTTCCTGTCCAGCATCCGAACGATGCCGGGCCCACTACTAAAATTCCTCCTCTCACCCGTAAGTTTAAGGAAAAGAGGTCGAGACTTCTGCCGAAATCTCCGTAGAGTCTCCCCTAAAAAACTAACATTTACCCAACTAATATAACCTACGAACAACAACAATTTAACCATCCCAACTAGCAGCACACACAAGGTATAGCACACACAAATTACAATTGGCCTCTGGCCTCAAATTCAATCCTAAGTGGGAAATATCATAGCAACTACTGAAGTTTAGTTTACAAAGTTAGTTTCCAAACAATGAAACCAAAATCGAGTCCTACTAAGTAAACAGGCTAGGAATTCACTGACGACGAAGTAGCTTAAGTGGTCGTCCGAACTCTGAGCTATCTACTTCCTAGGGGGTGCAAGATGTGAGTGGATAAAAAGAAAGTTTTCTCGAAAATAAATATACAAAACATTCTAACCCCTCTGTTTTTGCAAACCTTTGAAACTCACTAATACATTTGTAAATACACATACAAGAATGAGATATGAAATATACAAATATATGTAAAACATACTCGGAATTAATTGATACATAAAACATGCTCGGAATTAACTGGTAAGCAAAAACACAATTAACACAATCTTTATTCCAAAACATCAGTTTAAATCCAACGTACATCAAATAATCATTCAACAGAAATCAAGTTTCAAACCATTTCTTTGAATTCAATGAAACAAGCAAGCCCAAAATACAGTTTAACCGAATTTCAGTCTCAATTCAATTCATACAAAAACTCTCAACCCAAGTATACCTATGGGGAAACTAACCAACCTTGTGTAGACAACCGGCAGGGTGGTAGAGGGACATCCTGGGAACAATCATCACTAGTTGGACACTCGTGTTTGTAGTATAAGTACAGGCAATACGCACACTGGCCGGACATCTACAGAGTAATCTCTATGCAAGTATAGACAATATCCACTGGCGGGCCACCTACTGACGTAGGTACAAGCAGAAACCATTAGCTGGACACCTACCACGTAGGTACAGGAAATACACTCTGGCTGGACACCTACCACCATAAGTATAGGCAACACACTGGTCGGACACCTACCCATGTAGGTACAAGAAATTTCCACTAGCCAAACACCTACCACTGTAGGTACAGGCATTACTCTGGCTGGACACCTACCACCATAAGTGCAGGCAAAATCAAGCGCTTGGAAAAATAAAAACCCAACTTACATCATCCATAAACATTTAATAACTCTTTAGTTGTAAAAACCATCATGGCACGAAGGAAATTGTCAAAAATCATAATTAAAACATAATAAAATTACTTCCTCCCAAAACCAAACGTTTAGAAAGTAAACACCGGAAATAATCAATTCTTAAAACATTTCATGCAAGCATCATTTCATAAAAATGTTGTAAAGAAAGTGGTGGAGCCCATATAAAGAAAAAAAGGAAATAATATTCAAAAAGCTTAATGATGATGTTGGAAGCCATCCAACTTGCCTATAAATAGGCTTCCCATTGCTTAACAAAACACGCCAACAGATAAGAGAGGAAATGAAGGAAGAGAAGAAAGGAAGAGTGAGAGAAAAAAAAAAGAGAGTGAGTTCTACCTAAGAGGAAATTTTGTCAGTGTAAACATCACAAGAGCAAATATAATTCTACTCCCAATATTCAGTGGTACTTTTCATGCTTTAATTATTTTAATTTTATAACAAAAAACTATTTATAAAATAAATGTCCACTCACACATGATCCAAAGGACACTAAACTCTCTACGGTTTCGTCCGGAGCAATTTGTTGCGCCAAAGAACCTATTTGATAGAATACCATAATTAACTCAATAATCAAACCCAACATTGAACTTTAAATCAATACCCTAGCTCTCGAGCACGTCCTTTAAGAAAATCCCTAATGCCATTTTAGCACTTAACAAGAGACGAGATCGTCTCAAAAGACCCATGGTCAACTGTCTGGTCAAACTAGTCATTCTGGTCAACCTAGCCCGCTGGGCCCACAATCTCCGATTTTCGATCTAAAAGTTCATATAGGTCCAACAGAGTTCACTAAATGCATCCTGAGAGTTTGGTCTCGATTGAGCTGTTGGATCGCTCTCAATTGCACAATCGGATGGTCACCGATTTTCTTAACACTAAACTCATTGATTCGGAGTATCCCGGACTCTGATTCTCAATCCACAAATTCCTACACGATCCTAGAGGTATGGGAAACAACATAATTGGAATTGGAGCCAATCCAAAGGCCCGAACATATCAAACCCGGATATCGCCTAATTGGCGTAAATCCGTTGACCGTGATACGATAACCAATTTTGAATCCAAGCATAGTGTTGCACTTGGAACGACATGGGGATCAAATAAGAACACAATGACCCACCACACCATGGCCCATGGCTCGCCACACGTGCCAGCAGCATGTAGGTGGCTTAAGAAATTTTCGGCGACAGAAATTTCTCAAATGACCCAACAATACCTACACCTACGTGATCAGGGCAACTAGGGGAGCAACTTATAAAACTGGGCCTACCTCTAATTTGGCCGAAAAGTGGCCAGAAAACCACTTCAAATACCATAATTTTCTAGGTTTAAAATCGAACTTCAAAAACTCCAAATCGACCCTAACCAAATACCAAAACATCAAGAACACACTGAGAGGATGAAAAAGCACACCTTACTCAATGGATTCCGTTGCGGGAATCTCCGAAAACGACAATGAAGAGCGTTTTGCAAGTCGTGGCGTTGGATTTGGTGGCCGGACGGCGACTCAGTAGCCGTTTGAATATTCGGCTTCGAAATGGAGAGAGAGAGAGAGAGAGAGAGAGAGAGAGAGAGAGAGAGAAGTCGTGGGGAGGAGAAAGAAGACGTTGGGGATGTTTTTGACGTGTGAACGCGTCTAACTGGGTAGTTTTAGGGTTTTTAACAAAATTTTAAATCACCAAAAAGTCCTTTTTGAGTTCCACAACTCGGATTCGAGCATGTCACCCGTCACAAAGGCGCAATCCGTTTCCCCCAATTCTTTTCAAATTAAAAAGTGATCAAAAAGACTCTACTTCCAAAGGTAAAATTGCAATTTCACAAAAAGAGATTAAATTAAATTAAATAATTAAAAATTAGGTTGGGGAAGTTAGAGCATCCACAATCATGCTCTCTATTTTTTAGTTAAATTTTAGCTAAAAACATATCAAAGTTATTTTAGGAGCTCTCTATAAAATTTAAACTTCAATCATGCTCTCTAGTTTAGGGAGTCATAAATGCTATCACCTATTATTTTATTTTTCTATAAATAAAACTAATTTTTATAAGTAAAACCCAATAATTGGAATCCAATTAAACAAGTTATTTAATCATAATGCACGTTTGGCATTGCTTATTTAGCGTGATAAGTATTTTCTTGAAAATTTTGAGAGCCCAGCCCGTGTGCCAAATTTAATATATATCAGATGCCACCTCTTCACTAAACTTTTAACTCCTTCAAAATTTAAGGATTGTGCAATGGCTGAGAAGAGGATCGGAGCAGTACAGGTGCTAATCTAATAATGTAGCTAACCTATAAGAATGAAAATGCAATTAATTTTCTATCAACTTTATATTTTGTTCGTTTTGTGATGCAATTTGTATGCAGCGTCTGAATTTATATTACATAAATCGTCATGCTTGAATCATCTGCTGCAAACCTATACCCCTTACTACAGTTTCCCTGAGAAGAAAACCACCTCCCACACACAGAATAATTAAGACGCTTTTTTTTTAATTAACTAGTCACTTGCAGATTTGTGGAGGCAACTTATCTTTGCATGTCTTTATTGACATTTCTAAAAAAAGCATCAACGAGCACCGACATCTAGCCATCAGACAGACGAGTAATTTTTTGGTGTGTCGAGTATACCACGTGACTGGTATATCATTCAATAGATGTATGCCATGTGAAATATTTCTAATGCAAGCAGCCACATGTCACTAAAAGCAATTAAGTAGAATAATTCCACATGTTATATGTGTATTGGATGGTACACCAGTCACGTAGTGTATCCGGAACATATAAAAATTTATCGAGACAGAGTCCCTAATTAGTATAATGTAATTGTCCTTTTTTTGGTCGAAAGTATAATGTAATTTGGAAATACTTTTGCCTCACCACTTTAACCCAAAGTATACCTTAACCACTCTTCTCAACACTTGACACGTGCCTATGGGCCTAACCATAGTTAACTCTTTACTTGTATTTATGGAACCATGATTATGCTCATGGACATATGTCAAAAGTTGAGAAGGGTGGTGATGGTATACCTTAAGTTAAAGTGGTGAGCAAAAATGCTCTTAATGTAATTTTCCTACATAAGATATATATCTACCAATAATGTTAGGGGCACCAACTTGTTTATCAACTTTTTAATACCAACTAATGTGGCAAATAACATGACAATCCATCTGACATGTCACATCATTCGTTTTAATTCAATTTTTTTTGGTAGATCATTTTAATTTATTTAATTTTAATATCTATCTCTTCATTGAAACCCACCGTGGCTCATCCTTGAACCCAATCACCACCGCCACTGGGCCCCGAGGCACCCACCATTGCCGCCTAATATCACATCCCTCCCATTCCTCTTGTATCACCCTTTCATCTGAATTTTAATATTATTTTTCTTCATAAAAGATTAGATTTGAGGGTCTTGAAAAAAAAATTTCATTACAGAGTAGATTCGATCACATATCATAAAAGCCTTTAGACCCAAACCAGGGGCATATCTTCCTGACAAAAATAAAAATAAAAACTTTTTTCACTTGGTTGCGAAGTCATGATTAAAACCCCATTTTGAGATGAACATAGTCCATGGCTGATTTATAATCTCTGAGTGAATCTCCCATCTGCCATGTTCTCCATACCATATTTCACAAAATCGATTTAGGATGTCAGTGCGTGGAATGGCAAGAAAAGAGAAAACTCATCTCTACGCACCAAGTAAAATCAAATTACCACCATTCTAGCCCTTGTCGTGCTGAGTATTCAAAAGCGTGGTGGTTATTATGCCACCCTTCTCCAAGCGCTAACAGTGCCACCCACCTAAATTATTAATATTAATATCCCAATTTTACATCTAGCAAGTTGAAATATGGCGGAGTAGACATATATCACTGGTGCTCCTTGGTTTCTTTCCCCACTTGTGGCCAGCTGAATTAATTAGAGAAGTGCTATGGAAAACAAGTACCATCCTCACCCCCTAGAATTATAAGGAATTTAGATTTAGGACATGTTTGGATGAAGAACTTAAACATGGTATTTAGACAAAATTCATGTTTTAAGGAATAATATATTATGATTTCGTTATAAATTTGGTTGATATATGACAAGACCCGCCCCAAATTTATCGAAATCCGTGATGAACCTTGTGATTTTTCGAACATCCACCCGATGCCAGGCCCACTTACTAACCACATCCTCTTCTCCGAAAACAAAGGAAAAGATGAGCGAGACTCTCTGCCGAAATTCGGCATAGTCTCCCCTAAAAAAGAGGGACTTTTCCCAAAATTCAACAACATAAATAATAAAAAATTCCCAACCGGCAGCACATACAAAGTAAAAGCACCCAGTATACAGAATAGGCCTCTAGCCTTAAATTCAACCATACATTGGCGATAACATAGCAAATCTAAGGAAGACTTTAGTTTACAACTGAAATGAAGTTCAACGGAAATTAAACATATAGAAATGTCCTACAGGAGTTCAAGGCGTGAAAGTACAGTTCTTGGCTTGATTGCTCGGCTCAGCTCAAGGTACTGCTTGAAGGGTGCAAAATAGAAAATTGTGAGTGGAATAAAACAAAGTTTCCACATACTTGCCCCACCGTTTTGTAAATCGATGTCAAAGCATGCAATTAAAACATTTATGTACAATTGCAAGCAGTTCTAAAGACTCAGGCAAGAATCAATCAATCGGTCCAAACAGGTTTCAAACTCGTCATAACCACAAACACATTTTAACCACAACCATTATGTAAAACTGAAATATAAACAAGTATTTAATCACATCTCGACTGGGCTTCAAGCCCATTGACATAATCAAAACCAAAGTCAATGAAAGTAATAGTTTAATTTGCAGCTGTACCTAAGGATTGAAATATCGGCCTATACAC